ATATAAATACTACTATAATAATTATACAATAATTGTTCTATATATAAATTTTTACCCCAAAACTCAGTTTTTTTTTTTAAATTTTTCAAAGTAAGTGTGTAAAATTAACTAACCGGTGTTTGTTTGATATTATTTCCTTTCATATTGATCATGAGTTGTACTAGTTGTGTAACTTCCAAAACTTTAAAATTGACGAATAAATATAATTTATTTTTTATATACAAAGTTGTTTATATACTACATTACGAGGACTAACACGCTTACAATAAATGAAAAGAAAAATTTGTCTTGCTTTTGAAACTTTCGAAAAGAGAGGTATGTGAGAAAAAAAATCTAACACAAAAAAAAAAAATAGAACACAAATGAAACATAAAGGAGTAATTAGTGCAATGCGATTGTTTATTGGTTAGATCACGTGATTGTGATCAATTTGTTTGTCTCTGATGTTTACAGTCAGTCAAAAAATTGACAGCTGCATCACATGATTAGCGTAACCTAGCACATATTTCAGACGTGCACAATGATTATCAATTATCTTGTATACGATGTATACTACTTTTTTTTATACCGCCTTTGCACACAATTTCAATACTTTGAAATGAAAGAAAATTTTCAAAAAACTTATGACCATGATTCAGTATTTTCTGAGTTTTCTGAAGATACTTTTAATAGTGAAATTCCTAATGTTGAACTTAACGAAGGTGATACTTATTCTTCTGAAGAAACTTTTATTATAGCAGTTAAAACATGTGCAAAACAACAAGGCTTTCAAGTTCGTTTAGGAAAAATTGAGAAGAATGCTATGGGTCAAATACGTAAAAGAACAATAGTTTGTAATAGAGAAGGTTTTCCTGACAAAAATTTAAACGATCTAAATAAAAGAAACTGCATTTCACAACGTTGTAATTGTGAATTTAGAGTTCGTGCTTCACTTAATTCCAGTAATGGACTTTGGTACCTAATTTCTGTACAATTAGAACACAACCATTCTATGGTTTCTGGAATTTTTCACAAATTTATGTCTGAAGAAAAGATAATTCCAATTGAAGTTCAAGAAAGAATTTTACTTCTTCGTCGTGTTGGTTGTAATGTTCCTACAATTCGAGCAATACTGAAAGAAGAATTTTCAGACATTGTAACTTGGATTTATGATGATTTATATAATTTTATTTACCAAAAAGAGGGAATAAGATGAGAATTTGATTCAAATGACTTTGTAAAGGAATTGGAACATCTCAAATCTCAAGACAATGAATTTTGTTATGAAGTTTTAATAGATCCTGAAACAAATGAATTTAGGCAAGCAATTTGGATGTTTCCTGAACAGAGAATAAACTATTGCCGCTTTTATGATGTAGTTATTTTTGACAATACCTACAAAACTAATAGGTTTGGAATGCCATTTGGCATTTTTACTGAGGTTAATAATTATGGCCAAAGTGTGTGTTTTGCCAGAGTAATTATGAGTGATAAAACTGCAGAAAGTTTCATTTAGACTTTTACCTTCTAAAAATGGTTAATAATACTTCACCAAAAGTATTTCTAACTGATGAAGATCAAGCTATTATTAAAGCAGTAGATCTTATTTTTCAGCCGCATGGAACAAAACATGCTTTGTGTTTATGGTATCTCATGAAAAATGTGGTTAAAAACTTAAACGGTATTTTAGGATTTAAATGGGTGGAATTTATAAAGTTTTTTTATCAATGTATTAATAATTATGATGAAAATGATTTTTTGAAAAAATGGGAACAATTAAAAACAAATTATCCATCAACTACCAAGTACTTAAGAAAAATGGATAAAAATTTAACCCGTTGGGCACCATGTTATAACAAGCAAATATTTATGGCAGATATGTCTACAACACAAAGGGGTGAATCTATGAACAGTTTAATGAGAGGTTATATGGATGCTACAACATCTTTAATAAATTTCTTAAAAGCATTTGAATCAGCATTAGAACAGAGAAAGGAGGATGCAGATTTGGCAAAATTTTGTGAAGATAATAAAGTTGTTTCATTATTAACAGCAAGTCCTTATGAAAAATAAGCTTTAGAATTATTAACAAAATATGCATTAATGAAAACTCAGGAGCAACTTTCTTAATATATGTCATACAAAAGTGAAAAAATTAACAGGTAAAGAAAAAAACTTTATTTTTTAAAATTATTTCAAGTAATAAATTTAACGATTTACTTTTTTTTATAGTAACGACAATGAAATTTCATTTTGTGTAGAATGATTTGGTAATCAAAAAAAGGGAAGGATCGTTAAATATGATTTAAAAAATAAACATTTTTCGTGTTCATGTTATTACACAAATTTTTCTGGGATTATATGTCAGCATATTTTTAAAGTTACTAAATAACTAAATTTAGAAGAAATTCCTTACCATTTATTTCCTATAAGATGGCAAAAAGATCCTGATGATAACATATTAGTTAAAATGTACAAAACATTTTATAATAATACTGAAGAAATAGGAATACATGGTCAAAGTGAAAATACTAATATTGGAAAATATAATTATGAAGATTATAATTATCTTTTAAACTGAACTTGGTATAAGGTTCAGCAAATAGTAAAAGCTAAACCCGAAACAGCAAAAAATTTCTATTTTTTGCTCGATAAATCAGTGAAAGAGGAAATTTCTCTTTATGCTTCAGAAAAAACATCTCAAAATAATGAAAAAATTAAAAATCCAGCAACATTGAAATCAAAAGGTAAATTTTATTTATTAATTAGAATTTATTGTTTATTAATTTAATTTATTGTCTATTAATTTAATTTATTTATTTATTTTAAATGAAAATTAAGGGCGTGTTTCAAAAAGAAGAATTAAAAGCCAGCTTGAAACTGCTAAACCTTCTAAAAGACCTGCATTAACATTACATCAACAAAACATATCTCAGACAAGTGAAGTTAAAAAACCAGAAGAAAAAGCAAATAATTCTCAAACTCAGCAAAGCCAAAATAAGAAATAGGTTGAAATCATTTTTTTTCTATAAAGAACAAATAGCATAATAATTATTTTATATTTACAATTATTTTATAATTAGAAAAAGAAAACAATTCTACAAATGCATTATATCTTCAAAGTTCGGCTGAAATTTATTTTTTTTTGGTTTAATAATTATTACAATTATATAACTAAAATTTAAAAATAATTTAGGCTGAAAAGATAATTATTCTATGAATGTGTCACCTTCTTCTTCAGGTATCATTATACCGTTATTATTTTTTAAAAAATTATTACATAAATAATTTAACATTTAAATTGTTTATCAATAGATAGTAGATGTCCTTTTTGTTTGGAGTTTTTACACAACCCACTTCCATCAAAGATCCATCTTTTATTAAATAAAATTGCAAAACAAAATGGCAAAAATACATTTAATTTTTTTTGAAACATTGAATATTTAATAATTAAACAAAAAACTTTATTTATTTATTACACTAGGAAAACCTACAAATGAAGACCACTACTTATTTTGTGAAATTCACCATGCAGAGACAACAATTATTCCTGATGGTATTCAAAAGGGTTATCCTACAGAAATTAATTTTGAATTACTTAAAGGTTGAATAATTGAAATGAAAGATGAACTTCTTGATATTGTTAATAAGAAAATTGATAGTTATTACCAGAATTTTTCTTTAGAAATATGC